CCTTAGAAGAGAGAGAAGTCCGCGTGCAGAAGAAATTGTTTCTACATCCCATTCTTCTGGTTCCTCTATTATAGACACAAGAAGATTCTCAATTCCTTCTCTGTATTCATGCACAGTTTCAGCAAGTCGGCTATGGTACTGCCATCGAGTAGGTGCGATAGAAGGAAATCTTTTCCTAAGGTGGGAATCCAATGCTTCAGTCCTTTTTGTGGACTTGGCAAAAAAAGTTCTAAAGCCAGAGAGAGTAGCAAAGAAGACCTTAACTTCCTTAATAAAACTAGCAGATTGTGCTAAGACTAAATTTAGTCTATGCGCATAACAATGAACAAAAATGGCGTTTGGGTACTGCTCGCAAATTTTTGCTTGTACTCCTGCATGTTGCGATGCCATAACAGCAGCACCATCTGAGGGCATCTGAGGGTAAAAAGTATTCACTTAAGAAAAGTGAGTGCAATATATTGACTACAGAAGAGTATGCAATTCTAATTCTAAACATTTTTCACTGTTTGTAATGTGATGCTGGGGGCACGCAGTAGCGTAGTCGGTTGAGGCACTATGCTACAAGCTGGAAGGTCTCCCGATGAGGTGGATTTTTTCAATTTAGCTAATCCTTGCAGCCACACTGTGTCCCTGGGGTAAAGGACGGCCTGCTGGTATGTAAGGCTGACAACCTCACTGCCATCTGTGAGCCAATTGTCTAGAAAATGTGGGAGCCTCAACATCTCACAACCCTCTGGGCCTCCACGGCCTGTTACAGGGATAGCTTAACTTTACTGTAATGTGAAGCTGCTTCTAGCAATGCTTTTTATTTCCATTCTGCAGACATGCTTGTACTTTAAGAAACTGAATCTGACGGTGCAGTTTGTAATTTGGCTGTTACAGTAATGTTGTGTGAATGGTGTAAGTACTGTAGACAGTCAGCAGGAATGTTATTGCCAAGGCCAGCCTCTAGTTACATGCACAGTTCAGATCTGCCAGCCTTTGATTTAAGAGTTATCTGGTATGAAGTAAACTTGAAGTTCTGAAAATATCAGATTCTAGGAAGGTGGGATGTGCATACATTTTGATTGAAATGTAATATTTAGCTTCAACTTTGCTGGCTCCACTTTCTGATTCTTCGAAAAGATGTCAGTAAGATACATGCACAGGGAGCAGGCACAGTTCTCCTGTCCTGAATGAAGGTTAGTGAGTCTTGAAGATGGTCAAAGTGAAGCACTACACCAGACAGGAGATAGCTCAGTCAGTATGGACAGCCTGGGGTGAATTCCCAGCATTGCAAAGATTTGTCTCCTCTCCACAGTGTCCTGTCCAGCTCTGGGGCCCACCCAGCTTCATCTCCAATGGGTACTAGGGGGGCTGTTTCCCCAGGGGTGTAAACCTGAGCACTCACCTCCATCTAGT